ACTGCAGTAGCCTTCCTGCAGGCTTTCAGTCTGTTTTTATTGCTTTGCAGCCTTGTTGCTCTCCTCCTTCTTACCAGGCTATTGTCCAAAGTAATCACCTCACAGGATGCAGATGCTTTTGGACCCATTTATTGTCAGTATTGGTTGAGCTCTACGCTCTGGGTTTAGGCCTCACATCAAATGTCATGGATGCAGAAATTGAAAAGAAAAGAAAAAAGAAAGGGAGAGAGGTTGTGCAAAAATTAAAAGGTAAAGAGGGAGAAGAGAATACATGAGAGAAAGAAGGATAAGGAGAACCAAGAAACCCCAGAGACAAAACACATAATATAGAACAAAAACAACATCATTGACAGTACTAGTTAATGCAAGATGTATTTAGTGGTTCTGGTACTAAATAAGCACTAAAACCAGATTGGTGGAGGTCTCTGACATGCTGTATCAGAATCTCAGCATGCATACTTTAGTCTGAGAGAAAACACATTGTTCATTGTTCTCTGCTACTGTGGGACTTTGTGATAAAGAAATCCTGAAAGTCCAGCCGTTCTTCCTTACAACACACACTCACAATGGAAGAGGAAGTTTAATAGGAAGTCTGAGTTGTTGTGCTGAAGCTTGTGAATGAAGCAGACCCTCGAAACTCGCCATGACATCCCAGTGGGAGTTTGCTGGAGACAGGAAAACTTTTGCTGCTCAGGCAGAAATGTCCGTTTCCTTTTATGGCTGCAATTGAAAACCGTTTAGGAGAAGCCAAGGAGGGTGGGGGGTGGGGGGGGGGGGGAAGGGAAAGGGCCAAAAAAAGCAATTCCCCTACCTGCACTGTTTGTGGAGGGAGGTGTGTGTATATGTGTGTGGATGCATTGTGTATTTTGCAGTTGGGGTGAGCATTCCTGTGTTTTGAAATCAGGCCTGTGAGGGTCACAGTGTGACTCCTCTCAGTCAGACAGAGGAAGTGGAGGAGGAGCTGATTCAGCCGGAGGCTCCGGCCCTCAGCTGCTCTCATTCTGCCTCTATTCCTCCTGTTGACACCTGCAGACATGTGATAGCTATACACGTGATCTCATGTATTCTCTAATATCAATGTTGGTGCTGTGATCTTACAGTACTGTAGGTTTTTTTTTCATCTAAAATTTGTGTTTTGAAATCTTGCCTAACAATTCACAAATTTATGACCCTTTATTCTTTTCACCACAACTAGCTTTGGCAAAGTCAGACTTTTGTTTTATAGCTTTTTTTTTCTTAGCTTTTTTTTTTTTAGTTTCCTAGCTTTGTGAATCAGACACTCCTGCTTGATATCTGCTAGGCTACAAATATGTAGTATATTGTTTACTACATACTGCAGTTTTAAGAGCTATTTTACAACAACATCCAGCCATCTTTGCAGGGCGACTGGAGGCTGATTGTCCTTAAAACATGAACAAAGACATTTATAATTTTCCTGAAAATAAAATAGACACAACATGCCTAAAGAGTATCAATATTTTTATTTCCAAAATAAAACAAATAAATAACTAACTTTCCTACTACATTAATACTGAAATGTATTTGTTTTTAGTAACATTTTAATATTGTAATAATCTAATAATTTTGTATAAGAATTTTTTTTGGGTGGTAAATTTCAACCCTGAACATTAATGACCCCAGAAAACTACCCTGGTTCCTGAAGTAGAATTTTTTTTATTTTGTAAACACATCATTGATGCTGAAAACAACAAACTTTGACTTGTTGTTTTGGTGATATGGTTCTCAAAGAAGACTGCAGCAGTACAAAGGTGTGCTGCCTTAACTGATTGGAAACAGATCAGATTTCTGAGTTTCCAACCGGCAGGTCATTAGTCAGACCTGATATGAAAAGTAATGTTGTGCTGCCTGTGAGCCTGATTTTAGTCTCAAGACTTTCAGCAGAGAAGGTGAGCGTGTGATGCTTTCTTGGTAAACAATGTGGGCTTACTTCCTTCTTCATTTTGTTAGCTTAGCGCAAAGCAAACAGAGCAGCATCCTGTCCAGCCCAAACCCGTCAACAGTTTGCAGAGCTGCATATTCCATTAGCGTGAATAAGAGCGTATTGATTCCCACTGTGAGCTCTGTGCTGATAACGGCTGACGGCATAACCAGCCCTTTTACCTGGAACTTGTTTGTGTTTGATTTGAAAGGCTGCCTGATAAGATGAGGTCAACTTAAAGGTGGCCCTACAACAAACAGATCATCGTGTCTTTTCAACTCATTAATATCTTTATACAAAGTCAAAATGGCTGAAAAACACAGAATGACCTTTAAATCAATTACGTATCTTAGAATATTAAATTAAAATGTAATCCAGACTTGTTTACTTTAACATTGCCATATGAGAACAGCACTAAAATGAAAGCTTGTGAAAGTTTGCTGTCCCTGTTAGAGCTGACTGAGCTCCTGGGCTGGAATCCTTTTCATAAGCTCAGTAGGATTGCCAGGAATTATTCAGACAATCCTGGGGTTTCTGCATCGATTATCTCAACATCTGGCAGGTCACCAGATGCTGCAGCATGTGTTAGATCCTTCCTGCTGGAATGTCTAAACATGACCCTCTGGGCTTCCTAAAGCTGCTGGGTTACTGTTTTCTATCTTTTCCTTCCATTTAGAACACATTACATGGTTCTAAATGGCAGGACAGCCTGAGATGATGGATGAAGAACCAGCATTCTGCTGCCTCAGGACTGGATCTGTTGTGTTTGCTCTGACATCATTGTGTCATTATATTTTATTTCCATATTTACAGAATCACTGACCATCTAGGGAAGACATAACTATGCTCTGTAAGTGCCTGCAAGTGAACAAATAATTATTTACTGAATTAGTTAGAAGCTAAGCCGGACTGCTGGCAGTTGGATCCCAAATGTGCATTTGACATGCAGAGGTGAGTGAATCCTCCCCAGAGCAGACAGTGTGTGTGTGCATAACGTATCAAAATATGAGATTACTGGGTCATTTGAACATCTCTTGCATAACTTCTATAGCTGTAGCGAACATTGTCAATATTTCTGATGAAGGCATGAGATGTCCCGTCCTGCAGCTATTGGCATGTTGTTGGGGCAAGATATGGTGTTTAACAGATAAACCAGATCATCTGATCAGTGCTGAGCTGTAGGATGGAGCGGAGACCCAGGCTCCGGATCGTAACGCAGACATCTTCAAGTGACTGAAACACAGCACTCATGAGGCTGTTAGTCAACTGCTGTACAACAGCAGGAATGGTTTTCATGACTCCTCCGCCATGTTGAGTGATGCTGTGGTTTTGTTTGTTCCTGCCTGCTGCCATGGCGACATGAGCCCAGAGCTGGCTGTACTTCTTTTTCAGAACGTTCTTGTCTTATCATTCAACTTGTTCAGAGCTCAGCTGGATCAAACTCTGCTCCTCAGGGTAATGAATTGAATGAGATGTTGAAATCCAAACAGCAGAAAGGAATTTGTGGGGGTTGGGGGTAAGGGGTGACCCCCTTCCGGATAAAAATGTGAACATATGCAGAAATATTCCTCCTAATGGCCATCTCATATTAAAGTCTGTTGTTCAGAACAGCTTCTTCTGCATTCAGCAGGTTAGAATGGAAACTGCACTCAGCTCGATATCCTGACTACAGTAACCACAAAACATTAAACTCTGTTCTATTCCTGTTTGCTTGTTTTCTTCTTCTCCTTCTAGAGAAGACAGAAGAAATGTTTGTATCAAAACCTGACAGTATTCATAGATGTGGTCCAATAACAGCTTCTTTCCTGAAAGGCACACTGTTGTCCTGCCATGCACACATAACTCTATATACATTTCAATAATATTTTTAAAAGAAAACTTGTTTTCACATACAAAACAATGTTTCAAACTGTATACGTATTGTTAGAAATGTTTTTTTTGTATGTTAACAAACAAAATAAAGATTTTCAGAATCTCAGTGATCTGCCAGATGCTGTCAGGATGAATTGCTCTTCAGATTAAATCCAGTTTTTCTTACAGCTTTGACTTTGAATAGGAATACAGTTACTACATTGCACTTCCCAACATGCAGCATGTCACAAAGTACCTGATGCTTCCTGCTATATTCAGGTGTGAATCAGCTAAATGGCTACATTTTAATGGAAGTTATTGCTTGCATTTGGGTGGAAAAAGTGCTTTAATTTGAAAGCTTAAGGGATATTCCTCTGCTCCTCTTTAATCTGCTCAGGGCTGATTATCAGACAAGGAGGAAAAATACTGGAAACAGTCACATTGTGCTGATCTCTGCTGATCCCTCAGGCTGCAGCTTGTTTTGTTTTCAGCCCGTAGGAGAAACGGGCCTGGGATCAGTGCATCTGTACTGTGTGTGTGTGTGTGTGTGTGTGTGTGTGTGTGTGTGTGTTGCGGATAAAAATTTTCCCTTATTGTAATCTCTTCAAGCGCAAAATTGCGGATCATAAAAATAGTCACAAGCAGGAACAATGGTTGGTGCTGCAGGAAAATGGAAAAACTTGTGCCCTGAATTCAGACTGGCAGGTTTGACCTCACCACCAATATGTCTAGGAAGAACAATGGGATGTTCTGTTGGGAGACAATAAAGGTGTTTCATATTTCCTGTAATTGTGTCATCACTTTGTGTATTATTGTTGTATTTTTGCTTTAATGGAACATTCCAACACTGAGAATAACTCTAAACACTCTGGTTGGTGAGGAAGACTCAGGATGAAAGCCTTCAGGCTCTGTGGAGCTATCTGGATCTGTTCATCAGTCACAAACACACATGCATGACTGACCTTCATCTCTGCACAGTCACAGAAATATGTTGCTGCCACCTAGTGGATAAATTGCACTACTGCTTTACCAGTTTGAGCCAACAAAATGAGTGACATCACAGATTTAACATTCTGATTTCTTCAGGAGTCTGAGCTGGAAAAAAATCCCCAACAGTTTACAGACTGTGACTCAGAATTAGGTTTAAATGTTCTGTGTACTGGGTGTACTGGGTGTACTGGTGTTGAGCTGTGCTGTCATCCTGTTCCAGGTGAGCTGCTGAGCCAGCTGCGCCCCGACGGTCTGACTGAGATCATCTGTCCAAAGAACGGCTCGGAGCGGGTCGACGTGGCCCTGGTTTACCCCCCCACTCCCACAGCTACGAGCCCCAAGTGACTCCACTGCCCCCCCACCACAGCCTTCACACCCATCTACACAAAAACATGGCTACCCTGGCTCGTTTCGCAGTGTCTCCAGACGCCACGTCCCCCACCACTCCTGCTGTCCTCCTCCATCATCAGCACCGCTGCTTCTGCCAACACTGGAGCTCACATCAACGTTTAGGTAGAAAACATTTCCTGGTGTTCCTTCATCTGCCTCATCCTGCCTGGACATCAGAGTGCTTCCTGTCAGAACTGGAAGGCCTGCCTGGTGTAAATCTGGTTTTTATGAAACAGTCCACAAAATACCAGCAGAGCTGAGGTCCAATTCCAGACGTTTAATGCAAATTTGCTTGGGCCTGTCACCGGAACAAATTTTGCTTGATGATAAATTTTCCCAGTAATTTTTGCAAAAAAAAATATAATGTTGTTGTTTTGAGGCCATTTTCAAGTAATATTTTGATAATGGCATAATGATGCAAGTTCACTCTCTTAAAGTCCAAGAAAGTGGAAGATATGTAGAATATCCAAAACAAAACACAACAACCAAAAACGATAAATAAAACCAAAATAAAAACCTCACACAACCAAAACCATAAATAAAATGGATTATGGTGTCTCAGTAAACCAGATTTCTTTTGAAAACTATTCATCAACAGAATGGAAAATATGAAACTAATTTAAGACATGGTTGAGACAAATCAGTAAAAGTCCCATTTACCATAATGATGAGTGTCACTGTGCTGTGGCCTCCTTCTAATGTGTTCATGAAGGATCTTCTGCACCTGCTGACCTTTGATTTGTTTGACTCTCAGACTGTCAGTCTCTAGGTGGACCAAAGTCTGTCCAGACCAGGACACTCCTGGTGACTGGCTCGGTCTCTGGGAATGCCTAATAAAACTTATTATGAAGGAGTTAACATCTTAAATGTTCCAGATTGACTGTCAACTCTTCCACTTTTCCTTCAAATTGAAGTTTCATGTCTAATGGTTGGGATAGAGGAAGTTCATGTTTTCATGAAGCTGCTGTTTGGTGTTTCTGTTTTTACCTGAATATTTCTGTGTGTTGCAGGTTTGTGGCTCTGTCTGTTGGCTTCAACCTGGTGCAGACGGAGGAGTGGCTCAGCATTCTGTAGCATCAACCACAAACGCTGTTTCAGAAGTTTCTCCCTGGACTCTGAGATGAAACAGTGAATCTGAATAGCAGTCTCAAACTCATGGTGCATTTATTTGGTCATTTATCAACAGACAGTTTTTTTTTTCCAGAGAAACTTGTGAAGCAGAGAGACTGTTCTCTTCCCCCTGAGGAGAACCTGTTGAGCGGTGTGAGCAGGGTGAGCCAGGTGAAGAAGGCTCCCATCCTGAAGCTGCAGACCTGCAGGGCAGCGTGGAGGAGAGCAGAAGCAGGGTGTCTTTACTCTCACATGCAGCTATTCAGTGCAGACCACAAGTCACAGTCATTCATCACAGACATCTCAGTCAGGTCCTAACTAAATGTAACTGCAGAAGACAGGCCAGCAGGTGGAGCCAAAGATGCAGGAGGATCATTTAGATATCAGAGAAGCAGCCAGTAGGTCGAGCTGGTCTGGACGTTCTAATCACTTCATGTCATTTCTCACACAAATCAAAGCTGTTTCTGGGCGGGGCTTCAGGAAATATCTGGAAAACTACATTTTATTTTACCATCAGACGATCCATGAAGCTGAGGACTAGACAGCAGCAGAGCCACCATGGGCTCTGAAGCCTTTCAGGTGGTTCTTCAAGAAACAACTGTAAGATATTAACTACTCTCAACCATTCAACGATATTTCACTTTAAAACTCTTGAACTGTCCCTTTAAGGCCTGCCCTTTCAATGTCCATTTGCAGCTATGATCACACATGTTGTTTAGGGAATGTAGTGAAACATTTCCAGACTTTCCCCCCAAATCCAATTTTCTAAAAGATAGCTTAAAATATCTGCTGGAAATTTATTGTAAACAGCTTTACTGAGATATCAGAGAATGAAAAGTGACGTGATTTTGAAAATGAAAAATCTGTAGCAACCCTGTGAATAATGTACAGGTAATGACAAAAATAAGTTTCCCCTCCCAGGACAGTGAATGCATCAGGATTTAAGGATGACTACAGATATGTCTTATGTAATGAAGGGTTTCGGTCGTCAGGCTTGTTGTTGACCTGAGGACAGAACGGCTGGCCACTAGATGGCGCCACAATAAACAACAATGATAAAAAGGTTTTGCAAAGGCGCCTCCTAATTGTTCCAGCTGGAACTGCTCCCACAGAACTTTGCAAGAACTTTTCCTGTTTGTTACTTTCATGTTTTTCTCTCCACATGCAGTTAGTTTTATTGTTCCAGAATTTCCTACATCTGGATCTGATAGACATCTTGGAGAAGACAGCCCAGCTGTGGGACTGGATCATAACATTCCTCTCAAAATCCAGATTTCTCAAACACTGACTACTAAAGAAAGCTTGATTCTTATTATAAGTCAACTCAGACATTTACGTGTGTGTGTGCGTGTGTGTGTGTGTGTGTGTCAATAAATTAGTACATTATTGAAAAGTTAATTAATTATAATAATTAATTCACACAGAAATGTGAACCTAAGGCAAAAATATTTTAATACCTCCTTAAAAGTTATTTGTGTTAATGCTACAAATGAGCCTCATTAGAACATCAGAAGACATTTTACATTCTTATGAGGTGTTGGGATGTAGATCCCTGCTGCTGCCCAATGGGATCCATCAGAGCTGTGGAAATGTGACATGAAGTGCAGAATGGAACAGACCGAATGTGAAACAAAAACAATCTACCATTCAGCAGCTGAAGAACGTTTCAACACTAAGCAGAGAGTTTCCTGGACACCGCTCATCGTGGCCTTGTGGTTTGCACTTCATCAGGCCCTGAATGATGGCTGGTGATCCACTAATCTCTTCCTCACACGCCCTTCAACAGGTCACATGTTAGCAGAGCAGAGTGTTCACATTTTTCTCTCCACTGCCACCTCTGGCTGAACAACTGAACCGTTCAGAACAGTGACTGCTGTGAAAGGATGAGATCTGGTTGTTCCCACTCTAAAGAGCTTTTCTGCAGGATTAAACTAAAGACTGTTTTCTTTCATGTAAATAATATCTTTATTTTTCTACTTAGACACAACGTGTCAAGCTGTGGCATATTTACAGTGCAATGCTGTGCATGACTCGAGAGACATGCAGAAAAGGTTTTATATGTAGCTGGTTTCAATATGAATACCAAATAAATCAATATCTGGCTTTAATGGGTGCTCCCCTGTGTGTTGTTCTTTACTTCTTTTAATTATACATTTTTCTTCCAGCTCTAATCTGGTAGGAAAATGATGCATTGTTCCCATCATTTTAAAGTGTGATGTGTGTTTGTATACAGGTTGTATCCAGCTGCAGTTCCAGCTGCAGGTCTGTGTCTGTAGGTTTACACATCTTGAGACTAAAAGGTTTGTCCAGCAGCTCAAGCTCATTCAGACTGGATATGAAGATTTGTAGACAGCAATTTTCAAGTCTTACCACTGATTCTGACAAGGATTGGGACTGGACTTTGAATAGGCCATCCTAATACATTATAATGCTTTAATTTAAACCTTTTCCTATTTCTGGCTCTAAGTTTAGAGTTATTGTCCTGCTGGAAAGTAAATCTACATTCCTGTATCTTATTTTACAGGCTATCAGACTTTCCTGATCCTGGCCTGTGTTTAGCTCCATTGATCTTTCCATCAACTTTCTCTAGCTTCACACACATGATGTTGCCACCACCATGATTCACTTGGAGATGCTGTGTTCAGGGGCCATGCACTGTCGGATTTTTTCTACTACTCATAACTTTTTTCTTGTAGCTCAGAAAGTATAACTTTGATCTCATTTGATCAGGATCCCTTTCGACCTTTTTGATGTCCTACAGTACTTGTAGCAAATTGCAACCTTGACCTTCTTCCTGCTTCTGTTCCGTAAAGGCCGGCTCCTCCACAGCTCCCATGGGAGTCTTGTCTGCTTCCCTGATTAATGTTCNCCTTTGTCAGTCTGTCACTGACCAATGTCTTCAGTTTTGTTGGTGCTCAATCCATCCTCTCTCCATGTTCAGATGATGGACTGACCAGAACTCTGTGAGATACTGCTGCTATGATAGCGAATAATAATAGATTGTTGAATGCAGAATTAGCCCAAAATATACATTTCCAGACCATTTTTAATTAAAAACTGTCATATTAAAACCTTTCATTTGCTCAAATAAGCAACTTTAACCTAATAAATGAACAGTGAAAGTCAGTGTCATAAAGTGTGTGAATCTGACAGCAGTTTCACACACTTTTTGCATGTTACCCGATTTTGTTCCACATGTTACCGATAAACAAACACAACAGATCAAGATTAAGTGTAAGAACATTTTACAGTATGTAGATAAATGTTACAAATTACTCACTAATGTGCAAATTACTTACTAATAACTTAGAAGGTATAAGAGCTATAGCATCTTTAATTAGTTTTAGCTATGGTTGACTTCCTGTTTGAGTGGTGATGCCTTTGTTTTGAAGGGACAATTTCCTGCTTAACTGGAAAGGCAGATTAATGGCAATCAAAAAACAAGATAAATTGTAACAGAGCTTATAAAATGAATCGTATTAGCAGCCTCATTAATAAAGACAAAAGGTATAGTTACGATGTAAATAAGTACTTGTTTTAAATATTTGTAATTTAAACTGCATTTCTTTATCAAAATATCAAAACTAAAGTTAGCTTACGTTGAAAGAAAAAAAAAATTCAAGCTGTGTTAAAATTCATCTGTAAGGTATGCTGCATCTAATATGGCATCACTTGATTACAATATTTTTGTTTCTTTATGACCTATGTATCTAACACTGCAATAGTCTGTTAAAGGCATTTCTGTCAAACTAGAACAACATTCTTCAGAAACACAATCGAACAGAAACAGAGTTGGTTGTTTTAAAATTGATTGTGGTATTTTCTAGTATTATAACGTTAAATAATAACAGGACTTGACTGAATACCAAGATAAATTAGTGGTATTTAAATTCAGAGTAATTAAAAAGACAAAACGAGACAGACAAGAAAACGGAATCACGGACAAAACTCATTGGTTTCTGAGGACGTGAGAGCTGACTGAACAGATAAGGCTCCAGCCAGGATTAACTGAGCCTAGCTGCACAGGATATCACCATAGTTTATGTGTTACCGCTTTTAAGAAATCAAATCGATGCTTAATTAAGGCAGGATATCCGGAAAACCCCGGCTTAAGCCACTAACCTAGTTTTGTGAAACAGTCCTCTGATCAGTGCCACCTCCTGACCAGCAGGGGGCGGTAAACTAAGACGAAGCAGAAGAAGAGGAGCACAGTCTACCGTACTTCCTCTTCCCACTGCGGCCTCAGAGGTGAGGATCTTAGTTTTTATTTCAAGGAGCAGAATCTGCTCACAATCTCGTTTAAATCTTCTCCATCCAATGTTTTAACGCATTGGGTTCCATCTATTGATAATAAACAACCAATCTGGCGTCATATGTTTGAGTTGAAAGGCGTAGATTATGGATTATATGTTAAATAGTGTGAGGACGCTGGGTTAGGTCCCTACTGTAGCTCTCCGCCATGTTGGCTACATGTGATGATACACACTTAAATGCTATTTTTTAAAAGAATATTAACAACATATTCTTTCCTCAAGACAGTGCCGAATTTATGTTAATTCTGGTTTTGTTGGCATTTGTTTTAGAAAAATGAGTAGACGATAGCAACTACAATTAGCGTGTTTTCTTGCTGAGCTGAAGGAGGGGGCTCAATGAAAACCCTGACCGTGTTTGTGTTGCAGGTATCTGAAAATGGTCCGCTACTCTCTCGACCCCGAGAACCCTACTAAATGTAAGTAAAACCCGCAGCAGGGTCTGGGTTCGGGGCTTCGCTCGGTGGCTGTGATGACTCTTAGGACACCTTTGGATTAATCGTGAAAAGAACTTATTAAACCTGAGCTACACAGTACTGAAGCAGTGAGTGTTGAGTTAGCTGCTGGGTTGTTTCATGTCTTCATTTTTCGTTTCAGCATGCAAGGCGAGGGGCTCCAACCTCCGGGTTCACTTCAAGGTAAGCCGCCCAGCTGGTCACATGTTGAATCAGACTGTCACTTTAAGATGCCTTACCTTATGTGTCTTTATAAAATTGCTAATAAGGCAAGATAACTACTTTCTTTTTAAGTATTTAGCTTTTGAATATGACATTCTGTTACACAACAATAGATTTTTCTTTAAGTTGTGGAAATTGTCCAAATGTTTCATCAATCCTTAAACCTCTGAGTGACTGCCAGAAACTCAGAGTTCCTGGTAGACAGAGTTTTTGATTTTAGGTGTTTCAAACTTAGTTTTCCTCCTGAGTTGGCATTCAGTGCAAATCTTTTTTTGTCTCCATCTTAAAAAGAATAATGACAATAAAGGATGATCAAATGTACTTGGATGCTGTAACAGTTCAGAGCTCTACATTGAGTTAAACCGTCTTTTAAACCAAGTCAAGGAAATGTAATTCAAGTTGAATCAGGGACCTTAGAGGTGTTAGTTCTGCATCTTTACCAGAGTCATATCAGGTCTAGTGTTTAAATTTATACTTTTTTAAATTTACACAGCTGATTAAGGGACTTGTCTCTGTACATAGTCGAAAAATTGTGACATTGTTGAACTTTTGTTTGTTTCAGCTCTGTTTAATCTCACCAGGTTTTTCTCCAGTCTAAACAAATTAGTTTTACTCAACTCCTGTGCTTTATGTTTTCCCTAACAGAATACCCGTGAGACAGCCCAGGCCATCAAGGGCATGCACATCCGCAAAGCCAACAAGTACCTGAGGGACGTCACGGTCAAGCACCAGTGTGTCCCCTTCCGTCGCTACAATGGTGGGGTGGGCCGCTGTGCTCAGGTTAGACCCAGCACCAACACCTGGAGGGGGCGTACAGGCTGCCATGATGACCTTCTTAGGACACCTTTGGATTAATGATGAAAACAAACTCTTAGTCTGAGCAGCGTTGGGGGAAACTTTGAGACTGAATGGGGAGGATGTGTCTCTTCTAATTGGTTTATTGTTTCCAGGCCAAGCAGTTCGGCTGGACTCAGGGTCGCTGGCCCAAGAAAAGCGCAGAGTTCCTGCTGCACATGCTCAAGAATGCAGAGAGCAACGCTGAGCTGAAGGTGAGTCCAGGTCTGGTATCAGACAGGCCATATAGCATTTGGCACAAATGTACAAAACACAAGTATGTCTCCATTAGTTCTGTCATGTAATATTAATTTCTGAGAATATTTTTCTCCAATTCCATTAAAAATGATATTTAACTGCATATCTTGATGCCAACTCAAATTACAGTACCATTGAAAAATAAATCCAGTAATTTGATAATTGAAACCAATTTATTACAGTGATTTATTTTCTACATTGCTTTCTGTTTATCTTAATAACTGGCTGATTACAACTTTATGATCTCAAAAAATCAGAATATTCAATAAAATCTATATATGTAACATAATTATGTTATGCACTCATATTTATGTTTCTTTTCTTCTCCATAGAAGTTTAAACAGAGACTCAAAGGACATGTTTTTATGTCCACAGACTGAAAAGGCAGTTTTCAGTTTTAATGCATTTAATGAAAGCATTAATTCAGATTTTTGTTCTGCAGATAATCAGTTAGCTAAATAAAGAAACCTGCCCAGTGTTTCCCATAGGGACTTGAACTTTGCAACCCTTTTGATATATTTAGCACAGAAACAAATCGCAGCAGGCCAAAATCAGTCAGGCTTTTTAAATATTGTGATCGGCCAGAAAATTGCAATCGCTGCACCTCCACTTTCTTTTAATAACAGTAATAATAACAGTTTCTACTGCTACTTGCAGGAGCGCAAACTGCTGCCATTAAAACACCACCAAACATGTTTAACCCTCTTGCAGTCTTAAGAGATGGGGTCATTAGGACCCCCACAAGTTTTTTGGTCCAGCAGGGTCGCACAGATATGTGTGTGCATTTACAAGGTTTTTTGTGGATGTGTGGTTTCGGAAACTGACAGTTTGGCCGTGACATTTGCCACGCTCCTCCAGAGTGTTGTTAACACTGATATCCTAGTGACTGTTTTTTTGTTCGCTCTGTCTGATGGAGAGAGTGCGTGTTCACCAGCGTGTGAGATCACCTGTGTGTGAGGATCAGTGATGAGAACATGTTTTTCAGTCGGTAGCCTAAAGTGGTGTGAGACTTGAAGCCTAACTTGGATTGTAGG